ACATAATGAAAAAAAGATTAGTAACTAAATTTGAATAAAATCGAAAGTTCATTACCCTTTCAAGTGATTATCCCTAGATTTTCTATTTATTGTAGTATATGGGGTGTCGGATTGCTTGTTTAAAACTAATGTCTATGTAGTAAAAATGATTATTACTATGTTAGATGGAGTTTAGAAAAAAATATTTGGATTCTTTTTATTGGATACAAATAAGATTGATAAAATATTTTTTAGTATGCAACAAATTGTTTCTATACATGTAATAAAAAATTTGTTAATCAAAATTTCTTAAATAAATCAATATTATTTAAGTTAATAACTGTTTATAAAATCTTTTATGTGAACAGTTAAAACTCTTTTTTACATTTATGAAACCGCAATAAATCAATATTATTTGAATAAAAATGTTGAAAACGCAAAAACAATTTAAAGTCTCATATGTAAGTATTGCATAGATCTTATGTTATCGATAAAAAGTATATATATGGAAATCAATGATATTTTATTCTCTATAAGTAGACACTCATATTAATAAAAAAAATTACGTAAAATAATTTTATTTTATTTTATTTTGCATTGGTTTTCATTGTAACAAACAGTAATTTTCACAACATTTTAACATTGCTCTAAAAAATAGCGTAGCATTATATATATATATATATATATATATATATATATATATATATATATATATATATATATATATATATATATATATATATATATATATATATATATATATATATATATATATATATATTAATTACCAAAATTGGTTTGTGAGGCATTTTACTATTCATTTCAACTTTCTTTTTTATCCGTCCATTCTGCTATGCTGTCCTTTCTTTAGTCTATGATCTTGCCACGTTACATATTTCTTTTTTTTTTTTAATTCCAAATCCAAATTTACTAAAAGCAAATCATGTTATATATTATCAAGCATTGAATATTAAAGGTAAAACAACATTCTTTTTGTTAATAGTCATTTAGATTCTGGTCATAAAATTTTTTTATATTTACACTTTTCACCTTCAATTAATTTTTATTTAACAATTTTCACCCTTATAATTTTAAAATTAAATTATTAATATTTTATACATTAGGATTTACTCATTTATTATATTTTAACCACTGACATACATTTTTAATAATCCTTTTTCGAAACACACTTTTAAGTCTTATTTCCGTCCGCCTCCTATATACTAGGAATTCCGCAGCATCGTGCGGACGGTCCAAACCCTAGTTTAACATTATTTACAACACCAAAGTTTCAAAAAGAATTCAAAAGTATTTTCAGAAGAACAAGTATGGGATATCAACCATATCTTACAACAGTTAAAGCAATAAAGTATGAAACAAAAGTCATGTACATGTTCTTGATGCTTCTAAGTTCATTCTCTTTAAGGTGTTGTTTGTTTTTTCGAAACAAAAATGTTTGAAGTTTACGAATTATGTTTGCAACCTCTGCAGAAGAAGATGTGGATCAAACGGTTGCAGAGTATAATACGAAGTTTATTTTTTAACGTCTGTGAGTTGCTACAATAAACTAAAATTAACTATAAATAGCTAAAATTATTTCTAAATCAAAATTTTATTTAGCTTAATCATATGCAAATCAAATATAAAAATCATTGTGATGATATGATTTTTAAAAATGTTTATATAAAATAATTAAACATAATATTTGCTAAATAACAATAAATATAATTGTTAATTTAGCGAAAATATGTCCATTTTTGTTAAATTTTCGCAAATGATGGTTATTTTTCCGATCAGCTTTAATAAATTTGGTAACTTTAATGGTTAACTTTATAATTTATTAATATTTGGTTATAGACAATGTAACACAAAAAAATATTTATACAAAATTTACCAAACAATTTTGAAATTATGTAAAATATACTAAATTGTTTATAATATCCTTCATAATATTATTAAAATAATAAACATGTTGAAAAAAATTAAAACAAATCTATGTTGAATAATATAACTTAAAGTAAAGTGAGAAGTGATTTAATATGATGGTTCAACGTTGCGTCACGCAGCACATACATACAACAGTTTTTAAATCAGAAATATTCTAAAAAACAAACAATTGCAGAAGGTCGAGTGTTGCGGTTGTATTGGGCAGCGCAGTCAGAAGTGATTTTTCTGAAGAAAAAAAAAACAAACAGCCCATAAGGTTTGCCACCTAAACCAGAAATACATAGAAACGATATATCAAACAAGTATGGTGTATTATAAAATAACATAACATTCATAAACAATTTCTTATTTCACATACTTCTCATATTTAACTAGTCACATGAGTGACTATACATCTCTACTCTCACCGGTAAGTAGTTAACTGGTGCCTGTTATCTCTACACTTTTCATGCAAAACTTTTAGATAAACTTCTTTTTTTTTTATATCTATTTTTTAAACTTGAGTGTTTTGTTAAAGCTAAAAGGTAAAAGCTTTCAAACGCTGCTGTCATTCACGCCCTAAATCTTTTTTATATTATTCTTTTTTAGTAAATATGCAATATTTGATACAAGCTTTATGTAAAGAACAACATCAAATATCTACATTACCGCCAAGATGATCTAGATGGGGTTGGTGATCAAAATGGATGGAAACATATCACCAAACAACCACTTTTTGATATTCATAAAATATAGTTTTCTAAAATAATTTAGATTGAACTTTGTGAATTTAATTTTAACAATATCTACTGTAAAAAAAAAAATTCTTTTTCTTTTATTAGATAAGCTTTTTTATTTGTTTAATTTCTGTTTTTGCTAACTTCAAGCAAAAATCTCTTATAAAACATTTACAATGTGTTCGTCAAACTAACCGATAATTACAAGTTTGAAGTTATTGTTTTTATTTGTATATATATGTTGTCAAACTAGCCGATAATTACAAGTTTGAAGTTATTGTTTTTATTTGTATATATATGTTACGCAAAAGTAAATAAAAGTTTTTAAAGTATAAAATTATATAAAATAACTTATTTAAAAATACATCATTTATTATAAAATTATTGTTTTTATTGGTATATGTATGTTCCCAAAAAATAAGTGAAAGTTTTGAAGTATAAAATTATATACACTAACTTATTTAAAATACATCATTGATTTTAAAAAATACAATTAAGTTAATTTGCAAGATTATAAAAGATTTTTTTTTCCTGTTAAACGTTATTTGAATTAGAAATCTTTTGATTTTGCTATAAGTTTGTAGCTTCTAGCCTTTTACCGTAAAACAAGGGAAAATTACTCTTGATGGTAATTAACTTTTGTATTTTTACTTATTTTGTTCATTTTTTTTGTATTCAATATACCATCGAATTTGTTATTTGTGTTCACCATAAGCTTTTGATCGGCTATCGCATGTCAAAAGTCGATCAAAAGGGTTATGATGAACACAAACAACAAGTTCGATGGTATATTGAGTACAAAAAAAAAAAAAAAAAAAAAAAAAAAAAAAAAAAGGAAAGTGACCAAATGAGAACAAACTCAACAATTGATTACCCTCCTGAGTCATTTTCCCTTTATTAATTTACAACAAATCTTACGTCATCTCCTACTGATATTAATAACATTATGAGATTCATTCTTGCTTCTTTTCAAAACATAACCCACGAAAGAACACTATTCATACATGTACAACTTTGTAATGCACTTGAATATTTACATTCCAATCGAATGATTTATCGTATCATGGATTCTAGACAAGTCTACAAACGAGTGGAATCACAAGTGTTGTGATTTTTGAGTTTACTTAGTTTTAAGATCGAATTCATGGGATGAGATACAACATCAATATGTACAATATCATGGTGCTTTTGCAGACATATCACCATAATATACCTTGAGGTAAACGTTTATGCTGATAAATATACCTCTCATACACAATCATATCATTTTGAAGAGGGGTGTTGACAGTTAACCACGGTAAGCATAGCATAGACCACGTTTTAATAAAGTTACCCTTCTGAAACGCTCTTCATATACGTTATCGCCAAAGAAGGTTGCAGTCTTTAATAATTTTGCAACTTTTATTTCATTTAACTTTTCGAGAAAAATGACTCAACAGGGTAACCAACTGTTGAGTTTGTTTTCATTTGATCTATTTCCTTTTTTTGTTTACTTAATATACCATCGAACTTGTTGTTTATGTTTAGTTGTTCACCATAACCCTTTGACCGGCTATCACAGGTCAAAAGCCGGTCAAAAGGGTTATGGTGAACACAAACAAGTTCAATGGTATATTAAATAAATAAATAAATAAAGGAACGAAATTAGTACAAACGCAAAAGTTAATTAACAGTCATTTTCCCGTAAAACAACGAAACCTTTTTTAAAATTTAGTAAAAGTTGTGTACAGAATACTCTCTTAAACATAATACAAAATTGTTTTTCTATAATATATGTTATTTTGTAAGAATAATGAGAATATTAAATTATAATTTGAGATGGATATCCAAATTTATGATCATTAATTGTAAAATTAATGTTTAATTTGAGATAGGTATCCAATGATGCGATTGTCTGGTTGTTACATACACCAAAAGTTTACCTTTTTTATTCTTCTTTTGTAAGATAACAATCTGAAAAATAATCCAAACATATTTGATAAAGAAGATGATCAACATATAGTTCAGTCCCTATCGATTCCCAGTTCTACCACATTATAATTAATGTCATACAAAACAATCATGATCATATTATAATAACAAAAATACAAAATCAACACCAATCCATTAACAAACATTGGCATGAAAACCAAAAAGAACAAATTTACCAATACTCACTAAATAAAATGTATACTTACTCAATAAAAAGGGTATTATATTATAATTATAATGGTAATTTCACCTACATCTTATTATTTTCATTTCCCATTTACCTTATTTTTCTTGATCTTTCTCCTATCTCATGTTTAATAGGAAAAAAACCAATAAAAATTAATTTAAATGAGAAAATGAAGTTGAAGTTGAAACTTGATCAAATCTTTAGCTTCTCACTGACAACAAGGAAGGAATTGCAGCCAAATTTGGAGTTTGATTCTTGTTTGAAGCTTCTCTTTTGGTTGAAGATGGCTTACTGAATGCTCTCATCGGGCTTGCCAACGCCCATCCCCAGCTCTTGCTCCGGCCATGAGAATGCTGTTGGTTCTGCCCTGCTCCGGCTCCGGCTCCGCCTGTTGAAGTCATTTTTCCGGCTGCATTGACATTACCAGCGGTGGTGCCTTCATTTGGGTTTGAAGCCACCCAGTAAGAGGATGAGGAAGAAGAAGATGATGATGAAGTAATCATAAACCCACTAAATAAACCACCGCACCTGACTCTTTCCTTGATGCAATCTTGGCCCCCGTTGCCGCGCATGCCGGAGACTTTCGACTTGCCTTCGCGTTGCGACTCCACGCGGCGGAGCGTGCAGTCGCCGAATCCAGTCGAGATCCGCTCGAAGAAGTCGCCGGAAAAGCTCCTGCTGCCGCACCCGACGGATCTGGATCTGGACACCTTTCGGTCAAACGAAGCGTGACAAGGACTCTCATTCTCTTCCACCACTATTGTATCTTTATCTTGACGAGATCTTTGCACCTGAGGGAAAGAACCAACAGCCGATGCCGACGCACCCATACTGTTCGAAGAAATGTCTCTGATATTTTTCCTGGTTGATGAAGAAGAATGAGAGTGTTTCTGCAAGTATAAAAACGACCAAAACCCACGTTTATGAGGGCTGTTGAAACCGTCGACATTATCCGCATCCATGAAATGCATCCCCCTAGGCGTGGCCGTCGACTTGCTTCTCTTAAACATAAGATTTTTGTTCCGATCGTGGCCATGTCCACCGCCGCCGTCGACAATAATGTTAAGATCTTTCTTTTTCTTCTTCTTTTGACTAAGCAAATAAAGTATCCTGGATCGATTAGAATAATACTGATGATAGTGACACTCATTCGTGGTGTTACTCGGGGTGATTTGAGTATTTGAAACCAATAAGGACGTCTGGTTTGTCAACCGTGGTGGGACGACGGTGGTGGCGCTCCCGCCACCACCACCAATGTCAGATCTGAACGACGGAGAAGAAGACGAAGACGAAGGAAAAACGGCTATCGGAAAAGAAGAAGACACCAACTTCCCGAGCTTTTCTTGAAGACAAAAGGCGCATATACCCCCTGCCGGTGTGTTGTTCTTGAATGGATGCTCGGTGCAGAGCATGCTGCCATCTCCGGCGTCTTCCGGTAAGCCTTCCATGAAAAATCTAAGCTGCTATATCTTTCTTGATGTTGTTGGAGAGAGAGAGAGAGAGAGAGAGAGAGAGAAAGAGGTCAAAGGGTAGTGTAAATGAAGGTAAGGGAGAGTCCCCAGAGGCACGTGTATGACTGAGTAAGTTGGATTATTAAAAGAGATAGAGTGAAACCCTACAGAGTAGAGAGAGATAGAGAGGACAAATAATGTGTGCAGTGGGTGTGGGTGTGGGTGGTGGAGTGATGGAGTGAAGGAGGAGATTTGTAATTTATAATAATCTGAAAAAAGAATCTCTTAAACCTGCAAACAAAATACTCGGTGTCCCAAAAACAAGTCCGTTTCTTCCTTTCATATTATTAAATTAAATTAAATTAAATAACCTTCCCCTATCCAATCTCCTATCTCTTCTATTTAATCTTTATTTCTTCCAAACCCCACAAATTTAAGCGATATAGTATGAAACTAAACTAGGAGAGTAAACCAGGTAATTAACGATTAGAAAAAATTAGCAAAAAAAATTATCCTAGAAGAGTAAGATTACAATTGTAGGACTTAAACTTGGGTGTTTTATTAGCGTCCAAAATACCACCTCAAAAACAACTGTGGGACTATACCATTTCAGCCCAAAAATATATCATAAGAATGTAAGATGTAGTCTCATCGTATAACTGTTAGCAAAAAGAATCATGTAAGGTCACATTATTATTGTTGATTTGAACTTCGTCTGAATCTTAAAATACCAACCAACGTAAGTCCTAAGAATCTTTTATTCATTTATATACGTCATGTGAATGAAACAAATATATCAGTTTTGTGTTTGGATTTCTTTTTCTTGCAATGCAAAAATATCATGTTATGTATCATATATCAGTTTCTTTTTAGTTTGAAACGTACGGATTGTTTATAATTACGTCGTAAATGGGTTTTAAACTCACAAGTTTAGTTGTTATATAAAAATGGCAAACATTTAAGAGATAGGAATGCTGATGAATAATTAAAATAGAGGATTTAGGAGCTTGCATGTTTGATTTAGTATATTTTTGATGTCATATCAAGGCTCTAATAAGATTTATTGCTAAACAAATAGGAAAAGGTCATAGTATCCACAATATTAGTTTTTTTTTTTTTTTTTTTTTTTTTAGAGTTTTTAAAATATATTTTTTTAAAACCACAATCTTTGAAAATTAAAAATATGACTGGACAAGTTTTTTCAATGATTTGGTTGTTACTATAAATTTTCAACTACAAACTATTTGAAAAGTTAATTGATCTCTAAAAAACTAACAAATAAGAGGTTTAACCTCTTCCCTTCTCTCATAATACAATCCTCTTTTCGCAATCCCCCTTTCTCCTCTCTATCCACAAAGACAAAATGTAGGATTGACGCCAACAGTTCATCACGGAATAAAGGACTCACTAAGTCGGGATTACTAAATAAGACTAATCTAATATGAATTAAATAAAGACTAATATAATATATAATAGAACTCTCTTTTCTGTATATTTTCCCTGGTTCCACTGCTACCGCAGGCTTTACGCCAGGATCTTTCAACACAACATAGGTCATCAAAAGGATCTCGAAGACCAACCAAAGCACGAAAGCCAGGATCTTTCAAAAAATACATTTATATTCGAATAGTGCATAACTGCATGGATAAGCTCACACTAATCTTTTTAATGTCGTTTGGTAAACCTAGCTAATAAGCTAGTTGGAATACGTAAAATTACATGTAGAAAATTTGATTTTTTTTTTTTGTATAATTCTTAAATTTTATTTTTTGGAAAAAAAAAAAATTCAATAAACTTGTTGAAATGCTAGTATGAGTATCTTTTAATCTTTTAAAAAATAACTTATAAGCTACAAGTTTGTGTATTACCGGTTGCACCGTCCTTCGAGATTTCCCCACATACTTACCAATTTTAGAGCTCCAGTAATCAAAAATTGTGAAAAAAATGTCCCTGACCATAGTCTATGTTAGGGATCAGCATCGGTCCGAACCCAAACCGAACCGAGAATCAAAGAACTGAAACCGATTTAGTGGGGAGATGGAGAACCGTGAACCGAACCAAATATCTTGGTTCGGGTTCATGTTTGGTTCTACAAGTAAGTGTGCTCTTTAGGGAGAACCGAAGATCCGTGAACATATTTAATGAGAATTGGAGAACCGAGAACCAGACAAAATACATTTGGTCCTGTTTTTCCGATCTGGTCCAGTTCCACCGGATCAAATGTTTGTCTCTAGTCTATGTTATAAGCGAGTAGGACCCGTACCGTGAACCGAACCAAATATCTTGGTTCGGGTTCATGTTTGGTTCTACAAGTAAGTGTGCTCTTTAGGGAGAACCGAAGATCCGTGAACATATCTAATGAGAATTGGAGAATCGAGAACTAGACCAAATACATTTGGTCCTGTTGATCTGGTCCAGTTCCACCATATCAAATGTTTGTCTCTAGTCCATGTTATAAGCGAGCAGGACCCGTACGTACATACCTACGAGCAGAAATTGTGATTTTTAGAGCTCTTAATTGGTTAGGCAATGGTTTGTTCCACCTAAAAAAATAGCATGGTTGTGATGAATACTTGAGATGGAAAACTTTAGTATGTTTAAACTACTAAGCTGATTTTTGTTACAACCAGCTAGTTGTATAGTCATAGGAGGTAAAAATAATAAAACAATGTAAAGTAAATGACCGGTGCCAACGGTCGATTTTGAAGGGAAAACAGGAGGCCATCGAGGCCATTGTCTTGTCCAGTTCACGGACCATCCTTGGCGGCATGTGTCCAACAAGGGATGTAGCCGAGGCGAGCCGAGCCTGAACTTGGCAAGGCTCAGCTCGGGCTCGTTTAAGTTAAGAGGGGCTCGAGCTCAAGTTCGGCTCGATTCAAGCTTTATTGCACCGAGCTTTGCTCGAGCTCGTGAAGAATTATATAGGCTCGGCTTGGGCTCGAGATCAGCTCATTTTTTGTATGATGAGCCTAAATAAGCTTAGGTTCGGTTCAAGCTCGTTATGTAACTCGTTTACTAATACCATACGTCCCTAATTCCTTAAAAATTTCTTTATTTTGATATATAAAAATAATAATCTATACTACATTGAAGCTCAGTTCAAACTCGTTTAATAAACGAGCATCATATTTAGGCTCAAGTTCGGGTTGGGCTCGTTTAATTTGATCTTTAGTTGAGATTTTAACAAGTCGATTCCGAGTAGCTCACGAGTAGGTCGACTCACTTACATCCTTATTCCCAACGGGGCCGTGAGGTTACATCAACTCCCTTGTCCCCACAAACAACATGATGACCGTAACACATATCCTTAATTATAGCAAAATATTTTGAGATTAAAAAGATTGTACCTTTTATAGTTATTGCATGCATTGGGAAGATAGTAAAATGCTTCTTTATTAAATAACGTAGATCAAACTTTGGTACTTTAATTTTATAGAAACAAACACACAACATTTTAGTAATAGGAAGTGACTAATAATAATGATACGTATGTGATTATGTCCAACATGGACACATAAGGTTGGGAATCTACACACGTGTTGTGGGTTTGACTATTTGTTCCTTTTGAAGCTGTGGATGAGTTGTGTTGTGGTCCTCCTCATAAAACCACAAACATAACCATGTTTTGTGGTCACCCGAACTCCATTTTCATCTAATATTTACATTATATTCCAGAATATCATTTAATTACAACAGTGTTACGGTTGGCTTTTTCCTTGATTAAAACTATATGGTGTTCGCTAACGGTTAAGAATCTTTTTTGTATATGTGCCCTCTCTTGTTTATGATTCAGTTTTTATTTCACATGTTTATAATTGAATCGGGTAAGACATTGTTCCTTCTTAAAGTTGTTTGTAAGTGTTGTAACTCGTGCAATTCACAAGTAAAATTACCTTGATAGTTTTGGGGGTTCTTTGGCAACCCTCTTAACGGTTCAAATTAAGAGGGAAGTTCTTAATCGTTAAGCATCCACAAAGTTTGTCTAGGTTAAAAATTACCTGTGAAACGGTAACAGTACATCGTAATCACTCGATGTCTATAAGTAGAGGTGTTCAAAACCGAATATCCGAAAATTTGGATATCCGAATTTCAGATAGTGGATTATGATATGCAAATCCGTATCCGAAAATTCGAATATTCAAAATTCACGTATCCGGATTTTCGGATACAAGAAAGTTCGAATTCACGTTAGGAAACAAGATTATAATTTACAATTGAAGCATTTTCACAAAGATTTTTTTTCTAACTTCATCATTTTTCACAAAACTCTTTGCATTTCGTTATTTGTCTCTTCTTGTCGTTCTTGAATGTACTTGACTTCATGTTCATAGAAAATAAAATATGGACACACTAAAACCATATCATAAAACTTATATATAATGGGACTTCAATTCTTTTCCACGTTACAAATAATATATTTTTTTGGTGAAAACTCAACACGTGGAAGATTTTTAAGTTCTAAATGTCATACATTAGAACATAAACAAATGGCAATACTTCATGCCAATTGCACCATTTAGAAACAAAGCACGATGAAAAAAATTGACGGTGAACACCAAACGCAAATGTATCAAAGTAACTTTGGTGAAAAAAATACATATGACCTATAATATAAACTGTAACTCCACTGGCTAATGAGGAAACCATAAATAAAAGGGAAAAATTAAATATATAAAAATTATATTTTGGATTTTGGATATCCGAAATATCCAAAATTTTGAAAACTACTACCCTTATCCGAATCCGAAAAATCAAATATCTGGGATTTTGGATAATTTCGAATTGGATTTACAGATACACATATATTTTAACACCCCTATAAACCATTATATTCTCTAAAATACCCTCTTTGTCCAAACCTTAAAAACTCAACATGCACCTTTTCTCTTTGTGACATTTATGCATTCCTCTCATCGGATGTTCACCTTCCCATCAAAGGCCACCAGAGGATCTAGTATTCCTCCTTCAATCGACCCAAAGAATCGTCACTGGAGAAA